ACCGGCAAGTGACTGACTCATCTCACAGATACAAGTGAAGACAGCTTTACCCAATGTGCCAACATATCACTGACTGTTACAGCTTTCAGATCAATACTCAGTGTTTAAAGTTCAACAATGCCTTAAATTTGTGATTAATACACACAGTCAATTTCAAACTCTGTAAAGTGATATATATATACACACCATCTCACCCTCATCCAGGCCAAGTGAAGGAAGGCATTCTACATTCAGGATTTCACCCATCATTAATCTTCATGTTCATACTGAACTTTATCCATCACCCCCACCAAAAAGAAGAAAAAAAAAAAAAGGCAACAAACACTACCACCACCTTCAACCAGCACAGTAATTAAGATTTCTGTTGTTGCTGCTTTGAGAACAAATACAACCAAGTTGCACACAGCTTAGGTTTAAGTCTTCTGTAAAGCTGCAATCCCATCGTGCAAGAAAACACATAACATGGCATATCAAATAACCATGGAGAAGCCACATATTATACATCAGACTCTCTGGCACTGACACTTGGGGACTTTTTACCCTGGAGCAAGCGTAAAGGTCCTCAAGACTGGAAATGTAATTGTAATGGCAATTCCCATAAGATGACAGGCATGGATGAAGTGTCTGTACCACTTCTACAGCAGACTGCTGCTTTGTTACCAACAACCTTATAGTCTGGTTAATCCACCTGTAGGAACTACTCTGTCAGATCAAAGCCACTTCAGTATCCTGTCCAAGTCTTCAAAAGGAGGTGTGAAACCCTATAACAAGCAGTTACACAATTATCTGCCCAGAGGGAAGACTTCTGACTAAGCCTGGGCAGTTAACAGTTGGCTTACGCTTTAAACCCAGGGAGTTCATAATCCTTTTTTTTAAATCCTATCTAATTTAACCTTCTCAACTATAGGTTGATTTAATCTCACATAATGTTTGATCTATGTATTATTGGCACCAAGCTCCCCAGGTTAATTCCATGAAATTCAAAAGGACATTTCTTTTTATTACAGTTAAACTCATTCCCTTGGCTTCCTTAACTGCCCTCTGACCGTAGCAGTTGAAGAGTAGTACCTTCACTTCATTCCTCATGTGTAGACCTGTCAGGCCCAGTCCTATCAGTCCCAGACTTGGAAGAATTCAGAGTCTTCTTCTAGAAGAAGCAACGCCACATCTCCCATGCTCCTTCCTGAACACATCTCCTGTTGATCACCTTAGGAACTAAACAGGCAGCAGTTCCCACCAGCTGGGAAACTCCAATGTAAAATACCCCATAGCTTATGCTCCCCTCTCTGCCATTCAGTGTTCCTACTAACTCCTAAGCAGACAATTCATGTCATCTGCTACGCTAAGCATGGAGGAAAACCACCCATCTGGATGAAAGAAAGCTAACTCAGCTTTAATTGCACGAAAATGAAGCACAGTTTGCCGGGCAGAGAGGAGATTTAAGGCCTTTAAGATCAATAATTATTTAAAACACGAAAACGCTTATACAGGAAAAAAAGCTTGAGGCATGGTTATTTTGAGGTAGATGTTACACCACTGTGTTTCAAGGAGCAGCAACAGCAGCAAGCCAACCAGCATCCCACAAAGGAAAGGAGAGGTCAGAATAAAACACAGCTGTGAAATACACCACATGAGCAGACTGTTTTCAAACACACACCAAACGCTGCATAAGTTTAACTACTGTGGGTTGCAAGACAAGTAAGAAGTGGAACTTTGGTAACAAATCAAAAAGTCCAAGACCAATTGTAGACAACAATGTATTTGACTCCTCACACTCTACTCCCAGTCACACCCCAGAGTCATTATAAGCTACATAGTACCTCCCTTCCAGCTGAATCCCACATGCAGTCCAGGAAAGATCTGGGAGCATTCAAAAATGTACAAGGAAAAACATAAAAAAATCAAGCACTGAAATAAATTCCTGACTGACATTACCTAATTCAGTAGCTGGGCTAGAAAAGGCCACATCTCCGTACTGTCTATGTTTTTTACAGCAATTACCCCTTCTGCTGAAGAGCTGAATGCCCTCAACTTCGTTTGCTCATGATGCAACAAAATTGGTCCTTCCTGCATTTCCGTATCCTGTAGCAGCAATAAATTAATCCATTGCATTAACCTAGAATGTCATGCAGTGTTTGCAAAGCATACAGGTTATCCCTGACCACCCACATGGCTCAAGCGTATGTTGAGATACAAGGATCAAGATCAATACCTTTAATGAGCCAAGTTATACCACTTAATCACCCTAAGCATGGCATCTCCACAAGCTAGGAGGGGGTCCCAGATCCCCTGGCCTCCGGGCACCTGCTGCTATAGAAGCTTAAGGGAAGCTCAAGGCCACTCATCCATTCAGCTGGTGACAGAGCCACTTACTATACATTTCCTAACCCCACTCCAAACTAACCTTCCCTTTCTCCTCCATCCCAAGAAACAGAAGTGCCACCCATTAAGCGGCATGGATATTGAAAGAATCGTAGAAGAAACAGGTCATCCTTATCGATGGCAGAACTGTTTGCCGCTCTCTCTGCCCTCTCCCAAGCAACACAACACTGTTTTACCCTCTTTGCTAGGCAGATTCTGGGAATAAATAAGCTTGCGTCAATAGAGAAGTCTATGGGTCTGAAGCACTGCAGGGGAAAAAAAAATTAAAAAAGAATTTTCCCTTTTCTATCCCACTGCCTGATAACTGGGTAGTGCTGTAGCACAAGACCATTATCCTGACTCCAGGCGGTGCATCAAGGTTTACCGTAAGCTGACTATTTTGCTCAGATAACTTCAGCATAATGGACAGATAATGGATCTAATAAAAGCCCAAGTTCATGTTTTTAACTGCACTGGGAGAGGAGAAAGCAAGAATGGGGCATAACGTACTCCAATATGAACTCATCATACTTCTCTTTGCACTTGCTTCTTAAAACCACTGTAATCTGCATGGACTTACATTTACATTTTTTTGGAAGAAGAAAAAAAAAAAAAACAATCCTGCAGTAACAAGTAGTTGCTCAGAAATGGTAATTAAAGTGATTGGGGAAACTGCCATGAAGGGAGACTACAAGACTGAAAGGCTTGAGAATATTTACTTTGGGGGAGAAGCAAATATGGAGACAAGATAAAAAGTAGGGAAGGTAAGAGCACAGAGCAGGGAAATCAGGAATTTCTATCCTTTCAGCTCTCGCACTGGGAAATGACATCCAATAAACTGACAAATTCAGAACAAACCCAGCGAAAACACTTTTTTCACACAATACATTTACCTTGGCAACCGCTGCCCCAGGAAGCTGCTATAGCTCAGAACCATTCTCTTCCCCCCTCCACCTTTCCATGACTTTAAGTTCAAGAATATCTATAGTTGCATAGACAAGCCTACCCAAGGACCCACATTAGATCTGGTGACAAAATTGGAAGCTTCGGAGAGCTGACAAGAGCAATTCATTGCAGTCCTACCCATCACAAGAAAAATTGTGAGGAACAGGTTAGCCAGAGATTTGAAATATGCAATTAGAACTACTTATCTAAAATTACATGCCATGTCTCTCTGCAGCATATCTTTCTGAACCTAACCCTTTTAGCTAGAATTGGTAATTACTCAAAGACTAACAGTCTCAATTACTACACCATGATAATACAGTTAGGAATACAACTGAGAGAGTAGTATGGACAAGGCACATAAAAGACTAAGAAGAGTACCAAGGAATGGTATCAGGACAAAAAGACCGACTGTGAAAAGGGAAGAGATCTCAAACTCCTACACTAGCATGAGCCATAAGAGGATTTGAACACAGGTCATCTTAAGAGTCCTACATGCAACCCTTCACAGGCACACTAAAGTGTGACAGCTTGGATGGAGCCTTTCCCCCTTGTAAGAGCAGATTTGCAGATAGCTATAACAATAAAAAATAGCATTAGTCACTAGATGGAAACTGGAACTATGGTTCAAGTGACTTGCTGAAGATCATACAAGTGCAGAGCAAGCCAGGACGCCTGAGTTCTGTCTGTTCTACTTTCCAATTGCAGTCACCAAAACAAGTGCCTGAGGTAACAGTACAGAAGCTGTCAAGATGCAAGCAGGAAGACAGACAGGTAGGATTAAAAAAAATCCTAGACAGTTGCTTTAAAAGGAAAGGTGATACAAGGCCTGATCTTCCCACCTTTCCTCAACCCCTGCCAGCCAATATTTACTATGGAAAGTTTTACCAAAGAGAGCTTTCTCACCTTTAGGGAGACACCTCAATGTTCACAGGAATGCTTACTTCACGCGTGAGGTGGATGTGACAGCTGCTGCGCTACAGAAGCACCAGCTCACACACAGAGGAAAGGAGAAGACGAAGCCCATCAACATACAAGCCAGATGAGAAAAAGGAAATTTTAGTTACCACGGCTACCTGCCAGAAGCTGTTTTCCATTGAGAAAAATCTTGAAAAAAAGAGGCACACAGCAGAAGAAAATTACAGAGCTACAGCTCCTAAGGACTCTGTCTCCTGTCCTGAACTCAAATTAGTGGGGGTTTCCATATGGCAGCCTGCAATATGTCAGAGTCATACCTTAGCTGGCATCAGTACCAGAAAGAGACTGTGAACAAGAGCTAATTCATTCAGCTTTTCTCTTCACAGGTGAAGGGGAAAAAAATGTAAAGAACTGCAGGAAAGGAAAAGAAAGAAAAGCCAACTCTAAAATTTGAAGATTCTGGAAGCTTGTAGCTCTGGATCCCTCTCAAATTGCAGAGCTCTTATGGGTACAGCTGAGCTTCACACTTGCACATTAACTCTCTTCAAAACAAAGGGATTATACAAAGTGCTTAGCTCTAAACAAACAGCCTGAAGTTCTCCAACAGTTGTTCTTTTTAACATTTTAAGTAGTGTCCCACAACCAGGACAACTGGACTGCCTCTAGTGAAATCAGTCGAGTCCCCTCACACCACCTCAAGAAAGGTTGTTTAAGGTACTTGGCAAACAGATCATGCTAACCAAAATACAACTCCCCAGACAATTTTGATTGCATACCAGGAGTTCATCCATGCTTGTCTGACACTTCTCAAGATTGATCCGTTTAATTGCCACCTTCTCCTTCTTCGGAGCGCAGAAGGCTGCCTGCACCACCGCAGTCGCTCCACTCCCTGTGGGTGAGAAACACAGATAGTTAGCAACATCTTCCAGGACTTCAGCAGAAAGGAAGGGAGGTCAGACAACAAAACTATGAGTGCCAGTTAGTACAGACAGCAAAGCCAGGTGAAAACCCAGTGAAGGCAACCCCACGGGCACTGCACGCTCCAGGTCTGTGCAACTCAGGAGGTCAGCTCAGCTGCAACATTGAAGTACTGGGCTAGCCAAATGAAAAGAAGTGGTCTTTATGAGCGATCATTATAGCTTTGCAGACAAAAAACCCACCCCAGACTCCACCTTACTTGTAACAGAGGAACGATTCTTCTTGTATGCTTTTAAAAGAAAGGCCACTGGGGTCACAGACTTTTAACCTGGTATGTTCACCCAAAGTGTTGAAACAAGTCACACTCTTTGCTACCAACACTAATGAGATTTTTCAAATATTTTTATGTACTAATTGCTGTTCTCGTCTCCCCTCATTTTATGCAAGGACATGAGGTAGGCTTCATTCAAGCCTGTTCAGTTCCATTTCTCACATAGTAGCACACTACCTCAGTGTCTGGGTTGAAAACCACAGCCAGAGAACATTTAAATTTAGATAGGGTAAAAAAACCAACATATTTTAATGTACAGTTGTTCAACTGCTAGAAGTAGTAATAAGAGTTCTGGATTTAAACTGCTCAACAAGATGATATCCTTTGATATCAAAAGGAGTTTGCAAGTGAGACAAAATCTAATTGATGTTACCACCATATTTGTTGGCCTCCAGAAATAGTTGCAACATTCAAGTCTCATCAATAGGACACCTTCTTGCTTTACTTTCTACCCTGATCTTGGTTCCCCACATTTTACACACTTCACTGAAAAGGAATAATTTCAAATTAATAAAAAAGCTGTAGAATAGGTGGAAAATAGCTCAAGAGCTCCCTATTGCCAATATTAAGAAAGTGTTATTAAAAATAAAACCACAGCTATTTTGTTCATTATCCCAGGCATAACTGTTGAACTGAACCCATTGGGCTGATGAGGGAGATGAGAACAGTTATTTTGCATTTTGAAGTAAAACACCTATTTTAGCAGATTCTCCTGTTCTTAACACTGTAAAATCTACTGCCAGATTCTGCAACACAGGTCAAGCACAACATTTTTGAGAACTCTATTTTTTTTCTAGTCTGTTCAGATAAACTGAGGGCAAACCCCTGCAACCTCATCTTCAAACAAAGGATACCAAAGCTCCCTACAACGACCATCAACAGACTCATTGAAGTGAGTTGCACAGTGTCACAGCCGAACTCGAATAAAGTGCCAGGTGGGGAAAGAACTTGTAATCCAGCTCTGAAAGTTAGAGGAAAAACTGCTCCATCCAAAGTCACACTGAAATAAATTACAAAGCCCTAAACTCTGTGACTTGGCTCTTCTGATCGTCAACCAGTCCCCACTACAGTGGAGCTACAGGAGTTTCACTTCACTTTATATGGCATTGCAAGTGTACCCTGGACAATAGCTACAGCTTGCCAGTTGATTCCCTGCACTTAGGAGTTTACATTTTAATGGCAGAAGGAGGCAATGTGCAGAACACAAAATGGCAAGATTGCTAAGGCTGTACTATTTCATGAAGCAAATGGGTTTTTAAGAAGTTCAAGACTGAGGCCATTTATTACTTGCACATGTATTACTCTTCAGAGACCATTCGTAGCAGAGAGCAAAACAAAGCTACCAGGAAAAGCTTAGGTGGAACAAAAAGGACAGCAACGGGGCAAGATTATTTACAAGGGACTTTGAAAATGAAGTTTGAGTGCCATAAGCAGGGTCTTGAGCAAAGGATAGAAACAATGGAAGAACCTAGGCAGACATTAACAAAAAGCACTCAGAAAAAGCAAGGGGAGGAGGTTTTGACAACTGACTTTGGCTAGACTGCCAGGAACAGGGCTGAAATACACAATATTAAGCACGGGACAAACACCTGAAAAGCAAACCTTCACATACGCTCTCTGTGGTCACTTTGCCCAGCAGTTAAAAGATGCAGGACTCCAATACAAAAGCAGCAGCCCCAGCACAGACATAGTCCCCCTCACTGGGAATCATGGGTTGCACTGACCTGCTCCCCTCCACCCAGTACCTGCTTCTCGAAACTTTTCTGATGCTTCTTTGGGAGGAAAAAAAAAGTGAAAACATACAAAGTGACTCAAGACAAAGACAGCAACGCATACAGAAGTGGTGACAAAAGGTAGAAGTGAGTTTGAATTTCCTAGCATTGCTGGTCTCCCTACAGCAACCACCTTTTGGAAGTCGGAACAAAAAACAAACACTTGTGCCTCTATCATTCCTTTGGAAACAGTTAGATCCCAGAAGAAACATTGCTGCAGACACATTCAAAGCACCAGTATTATGATTTCTTTGGATGTCTTGCTGCATAGTAATAGACAAAGGCTATTACACAAACCAGATGCTGTAAGAATATATGACTGTGCACCTCAGAGGACTGTCTTGTCACACAACCCGTTTCACTCTTCAGTTAGTTTTGCAGTGCATATTTTCACCTCTAAAGCCACCTGCACAGTCCTCATCAACTGCGCTCAAAGACTCTTTCTGGGTATCTCAGACACTCAATAGGTTCAGCGTACATCTGCTTGCCCCTACAAGATGATGTACCAGGATTTCTGTACCAATTAAACCCAACTGGTGTAAGCATGACTGGCAAGAGATGCTTCTTACACTCCAGACATGAAAGATTTGGTCTACAGTAGTGGTATCACAAGACAACAGTAAAGTCCAGGGTTTTATAGAAGTGACTACACAAAGAATGGCTTTGTGTCGGGTTCTTTTTTGGTTTTGGTGTTGTGGGGTTTTTTTTGGGGGTGTGGGGGTGGTTTGGGGTTTTTTGTTTGTTTGTTTTTTAAGATGTTACTACCAGAAACAATAGATGCAGACTAATTAAAAGCAGGACCATGCATGCTACAGCTCCTCCCCAGTCCTCAAGTCTGCCTGATCAATGCTTGCTAGGACTTCAGGGCAAAAACTGCTTGTCACTAAGTGTTTGGACAATGCCCAATCCTACAGGGACCTGATCTGTTATGGGTGTATAGCATTATTTGAGCAGTAATGAAATCCCAAACTAAATCCTTCTGGGCACATGGCAGGGAATCATCTGAACTCAAGGCTCCTCCCATTTAATTCCCTGCTGCTCCTACTTCTCTGGCAGCTCTCTTCAGTTCGATCACCACCTGCTCTCCCGCTAATTCGTCATTTCTTTCAGCTCCTCTGTAGCACTTAATTATAGAGAAACAATGAAATCTCAAAAGCATATCAAGCAAGGATTAAGCCAAGCTGCAGCACGATGTGCCACAAGCAAGCTGCTCTTTGGTAGCAGCAGCGGTGGCGTGCCATGCTTCTGGGACCAAACAAAGACAGGTTTCCGTACTTCTTCGAAGAGTACAGAAAACATAACAACACAGCCACTTCAGGCTTTGCAGCCATACAATTTGTTTATGAAATTCCAGGGTGGCAAAAGAAGGAAAGGACAGAAGCTGCAGGAAGGATGCTAAACACATTGCTAAGTGAAAACAAGCATAGATAGAGATGACAACACCAACGGAGAGAAAAATAAAAAGCCTAGCAAGGAAGTTCTTTTAAATTTTAGGAGCAGGTAACAAATGTATGGGGAAAGGTGGGGAACGAAGTGATTTCCTGGGTGCTATGAACCACCTTCAATGAGAAGAAAAACACAAGGACAGTTTATGTTAGGGTGGCACAACTTAGACAAACCAACTCTCCCAGCAGACGCAGATCTGCTGTGATCAGATCCAACTGCAGTCCTGCAGGCTGCACGGCCGCAAGGCTGTGGGCAGCACGGGGTTAATGCTCTTGTGCTCAATTCATGCTTGCTCCCCACCTCAAGGCACTCTGATCAAGGTCAGTGCTGAGGCCCTTCCCTCAGCCTCCCTCAAGATCAGCTTTCGGAGAAAATTCGCTCCCTAGTTAATCTCTTCCAGCATAACAGCTTAGCAAAACAATGAAAACCGGGTACAGCCAAATGCTTGCTGCTTTATTCCTGAAAAGCAGGAGATCATTTTGTTGAGGGCTAAGGGGGGAGGGGGAGGAAAGAGACCCTGAGTGCATATTAGGATCTGTTTAATACCCCCTGCTTTCGCCTCTGTAGGCTCTAAGATACAGTTCCAACCCTTAGGATAGCAGCTGCAAAATTCCTGCATAAGAGGGTCATGACCTGCTTTAGGAAACACTGCCTAAGGAAGAAAACATACCCTTTCTAACCCTTGCTTCTTTCACATATCTATGATTAAACAGTTCTTTCTGAAATAAAACCAACCTCTGAAAGGATGAAAACAACCCAAACTAGAAACTCCCCAAGCACGCAGTTACTGAAGCCTAATTTCCAAGGATATCTCCTCCGGTCCTCTGGATCCATGTTCCCTGTAACATCAGCATCCAGAGCTCCAGCCTAAACGTCTCCTTAACTTGAGAAAAACTCCCCACAGAAGGCCACCACCAGCCTTCAAGGGACGCTGGACAGCATCTCTTCTGCAGTCACTTGCTGTCACATAACTTATATGAAGCTTGCTTTAAAAAAAAAAAAAAACCACAAACACAAACAAAACACCACATACACCACAACCAACAAAAACACCCCTCCGAGATCTCTGTTAAAGTTAATGGAAACCAATGATTTCAAAGCTATTTGGAGGAGTGGAAAGACAGTGGACTGACTTGAGGACATAGCATGTTCACATGAACTTTGTTTCCAAAGGTAACTGAATCTTTGCAGCCACATAAGGACATTGCAGCTCTCCCAGTAAGACTGGGATGAATTGCACTGATGCCTCCTCCCAGGCAAATGCAATTGAAGCCAGAGGTCCTTTTGGCAAAGGTATCCGCTTAAGCAATGGGAACAGTCATGCCAAATGGTCACAAGACAAACATCAAATCCTGGCTCTGAACAGTATTCCCCCACCACGTGCAATGGTGACTTAAAGCAGCTACATAGAAAGAGCGCTCACAAATAAAAATGTGTTGCCCAAGATTTAAATCCATCCCACTACTGGAAACCGAGATTCAGGTATGCTGGGAGATGTGAAAACTTCCCTTGGAGGTAACTCAGTAGCTCACACAGCTGTTTCAATCAACAGGGGACATCTGCCACAACAGTCTTGGAGCATCAGTCTTTATCTTAATGCAGTATCAAATCCTCTCCACAGAGGAAATATGGCCTTCCAGGGTCAATGAAAGTTGCTAGTAACTTTGGTTGGAAGGAACTTCTGG